TTTGAGAGTAAGTAAAGGATTCAAGATTTTGGCAAACAAACCGTGCAATGCTATAGAGTTTAGATTCCAATGATAGACAACTTTAGCATCCACAAGAGTAAATGAAAATGAAAGAAGATTCATTACACCAATGTCATCTTATATGATCTGCCCAAATGGCACATGATAGGGAGCATGACAAGCACTCTATATCCTTGTGCTACCATAAAATCTGCACAAACAAATGCTAAACGTTGCAACCTCCTCTACTAATATAAAATCTGTAATTGAACTCATGTACTATAAGTTACATGAATCAGTCATGATAGTCTGCCACCTTATCAAGAATCAGAATCAAGCAATTGATGTATAAGGAATAAGTAAAAACAGTTGGCCAAAATTGCAAAATGTGGAATTAACGGAAGATTATCACGACTATACAATAATCCAATGCTCGCAAGTAACTCAACAAAATCTAAGGAGCAAACATCTGAAAATACTTCACTGGGGTGTTCAATCACGGCCTCACCTTGTTGCATACCAAAGAAGGAGGCCATGACATGATGTAGGGATAAGCAGGGCTTGCATATGTATCATCAAAGAGCGTGTTTAGCTCTGCTGTTTCCAGGCAGAAAGATACGAGGGACTCGGTATAATCATCATACTTAATAGACAGGTACAGAAAGCCATCGATAACGGCCTCAATCTGCACCGTGGTATCATCCTCTGTTAAATACTTATCGGCGTCAATAAATGTACTCAGTGGATAAGTATCTGCCGGCATCCATTTCTCAACACCGTCATCATCAGCTCCCCAAACATGAACAACAAGCGTTCCTATATTTGCGTCAGAGTCATCTGCAGCAACCATGCAGAGCTTCCCATCCTTGGTCTGACCAAGCTTAAACAGCGTAGGGTCTATCTTTCCCCAGAAATGCGGCAAATTCAGTCTAGAGAACTGCAGTGTCTCGTTGTTGAGAACAAGTAGATAGGCTTTACTCTTGTGTTTCCAATAAACGAATCCATTCATCTGCATACCAGGGTAAAAGCCGAACCAGTTGTCTCCGTCGTCATCCACAGGCTGTGGTGGAGCCGGCCATGGCAAAACCTGCCACTCCCTAGTGGCCGGTGAGAAGACAGAGACACACACCGGCACCTTACAAATGTTTCGAAATTGGACACAAGCCATTCGGAACACCCGCTGGTCCTCCTCGGAGAAGAGGATATGGAACTCAAGGACTTCGATGCGGATCTCCTTGGGCGGCTGGGGGGACAGATCCTTGCTGAGGATCTCCTCGGGCGGGTAGGGGAAGAGATGCAGTGCCTGCGTCAGGGGGTTGTAGGCGGCGATCTGCTCGGTGACATAGTTGACGAGGACGAGGTAGCCGTCGTGGCAGGGCTTCAGCTCCCAGCCGGGGGTGGAATCGCTGTCTTCAGGGAGGCGGAAGAGGAAGAAATTGGAACCGCTGAGTCGCTGACGGCGGCGGTGAGGTCGGGGTCGGAGCTTCTGCGGATGGGGACGAAGGGGGGGATGGCTTCGCGGCCGGTTTCACGGAAGAAGCCAAGGAGCTGCGGATGGTGGAGCGCCCGGAATCGGCCGCGGAAGGCGGGGGACGAACGGACGGCGTGGAGGAAGGTGCGGCAGGCGAGGGCGGCGCGAACGAGGCTCGGGAGGGAGGGAAGGAGGAGGAAGATCTCGCAAAGGAGGTCGTTGCCGATGTCCGTAATCGTGGTGGGCGCCGTCGGTGGGCATTTCGCCGGCGGCGGTTGCCCGAGCTCGGAGGCCATGGCGGCGGAGAAGATGAGGGACGAGCGGCAGGGGGGAGTGCGTGTCCCAGTTCACTCGACCGCGATGGGCAATAGTTGGGCCTGGACTACGCTATAATAGCATGGGCCTGGGATGGGCTGTATTTTCTGTGAGCCAGCATCCAGCCATTGCAGCTCTCTTGTCTCAAAAAAAAAAAAGCCATTGCAGCTCTCTCTTTGCCTTAAAAAAACCGTCTCTTCGCACCACCGCCAAGCGGAGTGTAGGGTCAGTGAGAAGGGGAAGAGGGAGATGGCGACTACCACCGGCAGCCGCCATGAAGAGAGGAGGAGGCACGCGTTGACACACGTCTCTGTCGCTCACCACGTCGCAGACTCGTGCAACGACGACGGGCTGGTGCGGGTGCCCTAGGAGGCAACACGTCCGACTCCTGTCTTTTATGGGTAAGGCCGATATTGGTGCATCATTTTTAGTCTCACATCGTCGATTCACAACGGCTAGCATCGATTTAAAAGTGTTTTCCACAACAAGGCTATCAGCAAGTAGCAGTAGAGTTGAGATAGGGAGCAGTATTGGCTGCAACCTAGGTCTAAGGGGGTGAGTATAGGGGGGAGCTATGCCCGCGGCGTAGGTAAGGGGGCTATACTTGACGGGACAATAAGAGCGGGGGTAGGAGGCCTGGTATGCATGTCGGCGCAGCCAGCTGGGGTAGGGGGAGGGTCTATGCTTGCCCTAAGCTGGGCAATAGAAGTGCATGGGGAGGGTAGTGTTGCAATTCTCAAATATTTTTGTTTTTTCTGCCATAAAGTTCAAATGTATTGAAACGTATACAAATTTAAAATGGTAAAGTTTATTACATGAGTTGTTGGCACGATTGAGACAATTTTGATGGTTACATATTCTGGAAAGTTACAAACTAAGTTTAGTGATTTGTAATTCAAATTTTATTATGTACTCCCTCCGTCCGGAAATACTTGTCGGAGAAATGGATGAAAATGGATGTATCTAGAACCAAATTGCATCTAGATACATCCATTCCTCTGACAAGTATTTTCGGACGGAGGGAGTATCTTTTAAACTAACATGTCTTTCCATGAAGAGGCATCATCTCACCAAAGGGGTGTGTCTTTCCGTCAATAGACGTTTTTTCACGAACTAATGTGTCTTTCCACGAAGAGGTTTTTTTCACCAAGACAATGTGTCTTTTGATCCAAAGGGTGTGACTGCTCACACGCGCCAACTGTCATCTTTCAGCTAAGGAACGTGTCTTTCCATGGAGAGACATCATTTCCGAAAAGGTGATGGCTATTAACCAAAGGATATGAATGTTTGTATGCTCCAACTTTCAAGATTTAGTGGGCTTGATTGATCCTCTTTTTGGCGAAAGGACTTGATTAATACTCCCTCCGTTCGGAATTTCTTGTCTCGGAAACGGATGTATATAGAACTAAAATACATCTAGATACATCTATTTCTGCGACAAGTAATTCCGAACAGAGGGAGTACTTGATATATAATTAAGTAACGGTTCTTTGTAGCGTGATGTGGCTTAACATGTATGCTATATTGCGGGTCAGTTTAGAATAAACTAGTATAAAGCCCCCGCTTTGTTGCAATATTATTATATGTTCTGTAAATTTGTTTTCAACTTTTATTAATTTATTGCAATTTTAGTCAATGAGCTGTGAAGTTTAGATATCATTGAAGTGCATAAATAAATTGAATGGTGTGCTACATTATTTTTCGCATAGTTAATTCAATTTCACCATTCAAAAATATTAATTAGCAAGGGAGATGTCTTTCCACGAAAATATATCTTTTTACCAAGGGACATCATTCTTTCACCAATTGAAGATTTTTCAATCAACGCACATTGGTCATCTCTTTGTTGCCTCAATCCTCAATTCTACACTGGTTAAAGTTGTACTCCCTCCGTTCCTAAATACAAGTCCTTTTAGAGATTTCACTACAAACTACTTAGCGATGTATATAGACATGTTTTAAAGTGTAGATTCACTCGTTTTACTCCGTATGTAGTCTAGTGAAATCTATAAAAAGACTTATATTTAGGAACGGAGATAATAGTAAGTAGTAACAATCTAGTACTTTCAATACTTCTTTCACCTCTCGGTGGAAGTACACAGGCCTGAACCAACGGCAATTTTATTTTTGTAATGCTATTCAGCTGATGTTCCTTAGGAGGAGATAACAAATCAAATATATTTTATGACAATTTATATTGTTGCGAGGATGAAATATTTTAGTTCGCAAGTACGGCAAATACTAACAAAAAACTGAACCGAGACGGATTTGTCATGTTTGGTAATTAAATTCATCATCCTCAATCAACATAAATCGTCATGCGAACCGTTTGCAATTGTCATCCTCCCCAAGGAATGTTTGCTGGTTAAAGCCGGTCCTTTTATTTTGATGTCGGACAACCGCAGTGGCACAATATTTAGTCTAACCGTACATGATTTTATCCACATCCACTTTGCCAAAAAGAAAAAAAAATGGCGCTCCCCGAGCGCCATGGGAGAACCCTAGCACTGCCACCCTATGGGTATCCCTTTCCCCTTCCTCTCCTCGCTGCCGAAAATAAGTGTCGCTGATTTAATTTGTAAAAGTCAGTGACACTTATTTTTAGGGCGGAGGGAGTGCATGTTAGTACTACCTCTGCAAACTATTTAAGACGTTTTAGGTCTAAAACAGCTTATAATAGTTTACAAAGGGAGTAGTCCTTAACGTATGCAAGCGGACATGACAAAGCAAATCTACGCAAACTAAGCTCATTTCTCTTTGTAGTAAACCCCTAATAATTACTGCTGAACTTAAATAACTCTCTAGAACATCCAAAAACAAGCAAAAAGAAAACAATCAAAAGGAAACTGAGTTCCATAATGGAAGGTGGGGTTAGAGTCAAATGATAAAAATTACTGGATTGATAAGGATATAAATAGTGGACCCATGATGGACAACTAGTCAAGATAGGAATAAAAATAGTGCACCCATGACAGACGACTAGTCAAGATAAGTATAAAAGGGCCTGAAACTCAATCCACAGCAAGATAGCATAAATTCCATCAACTCTCTTTCTGCCTTTTCCCTAAAGCTATCTAAGCCAACACTTATTCTCAACTTACGATCGCTCACAGTTGTCAGTTATGCATATGCAGTGATTTTGCTTGCTGAGTTTTTATCATCCCCAATACAAAGTAAAAAAAACTCTATCTCCATGACTTTGGCTTCATCGTCATCAATCAATTTTGTGCGATTGTGGCGCTGTGACTAAAACAGAGGGAGTTTCTTTTGTGCCCACAGAACCAGCGTCCTCAACACTGCCTCCAGTAATCTTGGTTTGTGAATCCTCCTAACACCCAAAAAGGATATTTGAGCATAAGTAAAGGATTCAAGTTTTTGACAAACAAATCATGCAATGCTATGGAGTATAGATTCCAACGATAGACAAGTTTAGCATCCACAAGAGTAAATGGTAATGAAATAAGATTAATAACACCAATGCCATCTCATATGATCTGCCCAAATGGCAAACGATGGGGAGCATGACAAGCACTCTATGTCCTTGTGCTATCATAAAATCTGCACAAGCACATGCTAAATATTGCACCCTCCTACTAATATAAAATCTGCAACTGAATTCATGTAGTATAAGTTATGCGAATCAGACATGATAGTGTGCTACTTTATCAAGAATAAGTATCAAGCAATTGCTGAGTAAGGAATAAATAAAAAACAGTTGACTAAAACTGTAAAATGTGGAATTAATGGCAGATTATGACGACTATACAATAATCCAATGCTCGGAAGTAACTTAAACAAAACCTAAGGACCAAACATTTGAAAATACTTTACCGGGGTATTCAAGCACGGGCTCACCTTGTTGCAAACCAAAGAAGGAGGCCATGACATGATGTAGGGATGAGCAGGGCTTGTATATGTATCATCAAATATCTTGTTTAGCTTTCCTGTTTCCAGGCAGAGGGATACCAGAGACTCGGTATGCTCACCATACTTAATACAGAGGTACAGAAAGCCATCGACGAATGCCTCAATCTGCACCGTGGTATCATACTCTGTTGAAGACTTGGTGACATCAACAAATTTACTCAGTGAAAAAGTATCTTCCAGCATCCACTTCTCAACACCGTCATCATCGGCTCCCCAGACACGAACAACAAGCGTTCCTATCTTTGGGTCAGAGTCATCTGCTGCAACCATACAGAGCTTCCCATCCTTGGTCTGACCAAGCCTAAACAGCATATGATCTATCTCTGCCAAGAAATGCGGCAAGTTCACTCTAGAGAATTGCATTGTCGCGGTGTTGAGAGCGAGCACATAGGCTTGGCTCGCGTGTTTCCAGTAAACAAATCCATTCAGCTGCGTGCCATGGTAGAACAAGCGGATGTCGCCTTCAGGTTGTGGCGGGGTCTCCACCCACGGCAAAACCTGCCACTCCCTGGTCGCGGTTGAGAAGACGGCGAGGCTCGGCGTGTCCTGGTGTTGGACACAGACCATACGGAACACCCTCTGGTCCTCTTCCGACAAGAGGATGTGGAACTCAGGGGAGATGGAGAAGATGATATCTTCGGGTGGGTGGGGGATGAGATGCAGTGCCTGCGTGAGGGGGTTGTAGGCAGCGATCTGGTCGGTGGCGTTGTTGACGAGGACGACGTAGCCGCCGTGGAAGCTCTGCAGCTCCCACCCGAGGGTGGAATCGCCGCTGTCTTCTGGGATCCGGGTGAGGAGGAAATCGGCGCCGCGGACGGCGGCGGCGATGTCCGGGTCGGAGCGGCTGCGGAGGGGGACGAAGGGAGGGACGGCTTCGCGGCCCGGGTCGCAAAAGAAGCCAAGGATCTGCGGCGGGTGGAGTGCCCGGAATCGGCGGCGGAAGGCGGGGGACGAACGGACGGCGTGGAGGAAGGTGCGGCAGGCGAGGGCGGCGCGGACGAGGCTCGGGAGGGAGGGAAGGAGGAGGAAGATCTCGCAAAGGAGGTCTTCGCCGATAGCGGTAATCGTGGTGGGCGCCGTCGGCGGGCGTTTCGCCGGCGACGGTTGCCCGAGGTCGGAGGCCATGGCGGCGGAGAAGACGAGAGACGAGCTGCAGGGGCTTTGTTCGTCACCCAGTTCTCGTGGCCGCCTCGATGGACCGCAACTGGGCCTTGTCCAAGTATATCTAACCAGGTCTGGGCCGGGTTGTGTTTTCCATGGGCCAAGAGTATACATCGGAGCACTGCTTTTCCACGACTGTGAAGCCCAGCATCCTAGAGGATATGGTTGCATTGCTTAAAAAAAAGGATATGGTTGGATTGGACCCTATAGCCTCAAGGAAGAGACCTTTCTGAAAACAAGGCATAAGGAAGAGAAGCTCCATTTTTCCGCAAGTGCCTAGCGGCCTCCCTTGTCTTCGGTGGGCACTTCACCACGAGGAGACGAGGAAAACACAGAACAAAGTTGGAGTGTAGTTTAAGTTTTTCTCAGGTGAGTTTTGTGTGTCCATGTCTATGGCGACTCAACGGTGGAGGCAACGTCGCATGACTCTGTCCCCGTCCAAGTGTGGTTAACATGGCTGACAGGCACACATCAAGGAGTTTGTGGTGGTGTTGTCCCGTGGATCATAAGTATTAGATCTGTGGATTATCATCCGACGCTTCGTCCCGTCAAAGTGGTAATGGCAGAAAGTGGTTATCCTGTTTTCACTCTTTTGTGTTCTTGACCTCTTCCTCGACAATATAGCAACACAACAGCGCTCCGACAACCTTCCATGCAATGTGTGTGTCCCCGACCACAATGTGTTTCAATGATTTTATGTTCTTATCCATTGGGACGAGCGGCTCATGCGGCTTTTCAAAATCTATGGTGTTAGTCCAGCTTGCGCAAATTTGGCGTTCTATAGCTTTTGCAGCGAGGCTAGAGGAAAAGTGAAAGTGCAAAGGATGGAGCCAGAGACAATAAATTCAAAGAACTTTGATATAATTTTTAGTTGTGTCAGAGATCTTCTTTTTAATACACTACGATTTTTCAAATATAAGATGAATTTTTTAAAACATGATGACTTTTTTTAATAAAATGATGAATATATTTTTTGTTCATGATCAATATTGTTTAATACAAGATGAATATTTTTTAAACAGATTATGATATTTTACTGAATACATGAAGAATGTGTTCTATACGCATTGGATATTTATTAAATGCTAGAATGATTTTTTAAAATATGGTAAGATTTTTTATGGGTGCGATAACTTTATAATAATACATTGAACACTCTTTTTATCCATAAAGAACATTTTTAATACCCCAACAAAGTATTTAACAAAATTAATCTCTACAAAAGAAACCAAAAAATGAAAATGAAATAAGTGAAGAAATAGAAAAGGAGGAAATGGAAACAAAAGAACAAGAAAAGCGAAACAGGGACAAAGAGAAATAAAATAAAAATGAATATAAAATGAAATAAGAAAAAGAAGAACAAAATGTGGTGGAAAAGTGAACAAATAAAAAGTAAAAAATAAAACAAAAGAATGGAAAATCGAAAGGTCAATAAAAGGGAAAAGAGAAGAAAAAAAATAGAAAATAGAACAAAGATGAAAACAATGAAAAGACCAACAAAATAATCAAAAAAACGAAACCGGAACACGACGGGAACTAAATCCAAAGAACGAATACGGAAACAAGCTGGCTAACCCTATAATTTGTTTATGAGTCACGCTCTTTTGGGCCGTTGATTCTTGCAAAGTATAATGGTTTGGTATTGTGGACCATGATATTTTCTCCATAAAACTGGTCAAAGTTTGACTTTTTAAAAGAGTAGTACAGATTATATTTTAAACGGGAGGGAGTATAAACTAACTAGACGCGGACAACACCCCTATGCGCCAGCGAAAAATATTTGTGTCATATCTCATATATGTCTCAGCCTGGTTTATTTTTGAGTGCCTGAGCGACTTCTCTACAGCTGCAGGTCGGAATGTTTGGGTAGAATTAGCTTGAAGTGGGAAGAGAACAGTGATAATAAAAGTTTACGATGCTCCGTGAGGACAGTTCTTGCACGATTTCATGGGAGATCAAGAGCGTCAGGTCTGAGCTGGATGAAAAGCTAAAACACACTGGTGGAAAAACAGGCTTCCGTCCAGCCCCATAAGTCGCAAAGCTGTAGGAACCGCGACTAATGGGACCTTTAGTCGCGGTTCTGGAGGTGAACCGCGACCAAAGGCCTGGGCCCAGGGCGCTCGGTGGCTAGCTGGCGCACGTGAGGGTCTTTAGTCGCGGTTGGGCAGGACAACCGCGACTAAAGGCCTTCGGGCACCTTTAGTCACGGTTTGCCAGGCCAACCGCAACTAAAGCCCCTCCCCTATATATACCCATCCAGCAGCCAACACTTAGCCATTTGGAGCCATTCTCTTCACAAGTGGGTGTAGCTAGGTTTGCTTTTGGTTCCTCTTATGCACATAAGGTGTTTGATGAAATGCCCCAAGAGTATGAAACAAACATGACATGAAGTGTTGGAGCCACACTCCTCGATCGCGGTTAGCAACTTGATGAACCTTTGATGTGTCATTGATAAAATATGCATGTGTGCAGTTCATTGTTTAATTTATATTGTTTGTAGCTAGTTAGTTTAACAAATGCATGATGGTTAATTATATATTTTATATTATAATAATGCAGATGAATCGGCAATG